TTTTTTTTTTGGTTTTTCGAGACAGGGTTTCTCTGTGTAGCTTTGCGCCTTTCCTGGAACTCACTTGGTAGCCCAGGCTGGCCTCAAACTCACAGCGATCCGCCTGCCTCTGCCTCCCGAGTGCTGGGATTAAAGGCGTGCGCCACCACCGCCCGGCAAAGTACACATTCTTATATTATGTCAGGTGGGAAAAGCCATATACAAATTACATAGAACATAATATTTTTGTTGAATGCAAAGGAGGACCCATCCCCCTCCACAGCTACAAAGCCCCCAAACAAAAGAGAAAGTAAAGTCCAAAGAAATGTATGGAAGAAATAACTGGACTTTTTTATTTTCAACTTTCTGCACTCTACTTTTCAAGTTTTTACAATCGGCATGCATTGCATTTATAAAACAAAGACATGAGGTGTGTCTGAAGATCTTGAATATAGGTGATGATAGACAGGTAGGTGGGTTGAGACTAGAGTCCAAATGAGGTGCAGAAATCCTGACTGGTTAAGGAGGGATTGGTTGGGAGAGTGGTGGACGGCCCTGCAGCATTTAAAAGCAGAGTTAATGGGATTCTGATAGGAGATAAGCTGCCTAGTCAAGATGATGAAAGAGAAGGATCTAGTTTTACATCTGGGGTTGTGGCTTGGACACCACTAAGATATAAATATGGGAGCAGGAACGAGAATTTTAGTGGACAATGAGTTATTCTGGATATGCTGAAGATTAAAAGCCTGTTATCCTATGGGAGTCCACAATTCTCCTTCACAACTATGAAGCTGAGATGGGGTGTTTTTCACACAAACACACACACACACACACACACACACACACACACACACACACACACACACGAGATTAAAGGAGATGAGATGTTTCTTCCTAAGTTTTTTCCTTAAAAAACCAAGGCAATATCATATCCTGGTGAAAGACAAGAAACCAGGCAGGAAGCAGAAAGTTTTTAAAGACACATTAGATAGATAGCTGTGGTGGATAAAACAAAAGTCAGCCTTAGAGAGGAAAAGAGCCTTTTCCCATTAGCCAGAAATTAAGAATGTAATAATTGATACTTTAAAAATGCAGGAGAGGGAGTATCAGAAAGCAAATCTGTCCGATTCCTTCTTCATAAAGTGAAAGGCAGACCAAACTCAGGGATGCATGGATGCTGAAGTGGGCAAGGAAGCTTAGAAAGAATGGTGAGAGGTTTGGAAAGGTAAATTTCTAGTTATGAGTGAGGGAGGACCCAGATGGACTCAAAACCATCCATGCATCTTGGTACCATTTCTCCTTTGTTTGTGGCTTTTGTTTTGTTTTGTCCTTTGAGACGAGCCCAAGCTATGCTGCCTAGGTGGATCCCAAACTCTTGGACTCAAGTGACCCTTCAGTCTTTGCCTGTGGAGGAGCAGCACACCAGTATGTGCTACCATGCCTGGTTTTGGTTGTTAGGGTTTCTGTGCGAATGCCTGACCACTTAGGATGAGAGCAAGTATGAGGGTGCACACACACACACACACACACACACACACACACACACACACACACACACCCGCCCCAGGAATATAACAGTCTAGATGGGTATGATGGATGGAAGTACCACTAAATAATTCATGTGCTTTGATAAGTGATAGTGGGGGTGTCCCTGAATTCATTTGCCATCTTACTGATATAGGAGGACAGAAACGCCCTGAGGGGTCCAAGACAGGTACAGAATAGGATGGAGTCAAAGGACCAGACTCCAGAGAGGTCCATGAAGACAAAAAACAGGCTTAAAGGCAGGAAGAAGTGACAGACATACTCTTTTTTGTCCCCTCATCTGCCATCTCAGTTCTGTACGCTTATTACACATAGAGATCTATCTTATCCATCTTTATACTACCGCTCCCCCTCCCATAAGAGGTACCCGATACATGATGGTCTAATTGGATACAGGGTTGGCAAACTGTAACTGCCAGTCAAATCAAGCTGATCATCCGTTTTTTATATGGCACAGGAGACAAAGTTTCAAAATATATATATATATATATATTTTTGTTTTGTTTTGTTTTTGGTTTTTTGAGACAGAGTTTCTCTGTGTAGCTTTGCACCTTTCCTGGATCTCGCTCTGTAAACCAGGCTATCCTCGAACTCACAGAGATCCCGCCTGGCTCTGCCTCCGGAGTGCTGGGATTAAAGGCATGCACCACCACCACCTGGCTCAAAATGTATTTTTTTTTTTTCCGAGACAGGGTTTCTCTGTGTAGCTTTGTGCCTTTCCTGGGACTCACTTGGTAGCCCAGGCTGGCCTCGAACTCACAGAGATCCGCCTGGCTCTGCCTCCCGAGTGCTGGGATCAAAGGCGTGCGCCACCACCGCCCGGCCTCAAAATGTATTTTTAAGTGGTTAGAAAAATTTAAAAAAGAATAGCATTAGCTACCTATTCATAGTTGTTGGACTCTGAACGCAAGACCATTTTGTCTGTGTTTGGCATTTTAGGGGTCACAACAGCCTATTTCCTACTCAGGTGTTTACCTCCCAGCTCTTGGTGGTCGGCTCACTGAAGAAATTGTCAATCATGTTCAGTTCTTCTTTCTCCACCACCACAAAGCCTTGTTCCTTGGCGTCTTTCCCATAGACATCCGGAGACCATTGAACAAAGAAAGTATACAAGTGGTCCACCCTGGAAAACATGTTCGTGATCCACGTTAATGCCAAGTCCACGCTCCTGGCAGCCATCAAGAGCGCCTTGAGTACCTGTAGCAGCCCTTTTCCTGCTTGGCAAACTGTTTCACCAAGTAGGAAATTCCCCCACTGTCAAGGTTGTCTTTGTGAGTGGCTTCAGAAATCAAAATCAGAAAATAAGAACCCACAAATCAAAAGCCCGCCAGCACCAACCATGACTGAAACTGCCTCACTCTGAAAGAAAGATCAAGAGATGGGAACAGAAAATGGAAAACCCCAATGACATGTTACACCAAATGTTTCTTCTTCACTGACTTTCACTTATGGGATACATGCTCATTGATAGAAAAAAAAAATGTTGACCTGAGGCTTTAGCCAGGAACAAGGGCAAACTATAGTCCAAAGAGTCTTTCTACAGCGCAAGATACATTATATACAATTTTTATAAAACACTTCTGAAAACTAGAACAAGTAGTTATCAGGAGCAAAACTATTTCACCATGGGAAAGAGACTTATCATCTGTGGCACAGGCATGTCCCTTGCTTCCGGTTTCTATTTAGGACACAAATTTCTGAAGCAGATCTCTGGCAATGATCAACAAAGAACTGGCTAGCTGCTCAGCAGAGGATGGAGGCTCACAGGGCCACACCCCCCAGTATCCACTCTGCATGGACCAGTCACAAACACTAGGTCCTTTAGCTGTATTCATGATAGCAGGGGAAGGGGCAATAGGAAGGAGGATCCCATGCTTCTTAAAATCCTTTATCATTGCAAAACAAGTCCAATTTGAGGCGATCATTTGGAAGAATGTCAATTTATCATTACTTTTTAAGGAACTTGGATTGTTCTAAAAAACTTTCACAAGATGGGTGAGAGTAAAACAAATACAATCCCCACCTCGGTTCTGATCAAACTGCTTTAGGCTCCCACCTCCCTATCTGCCCTTGTCCAGATGTTTACTTGGGTAATACAAAGTTTCCTTTGTAATGGGAGCCGAGACACAACTGCATTTATGTAACATTATATAATAACGCATTTACTGCATTGCTAGTCTTTGTATGCATCTTTAATGACTACACTGAACAAAAATTAATGAGCCACACCAACCTGCATTTCTACATTGTCAGGATGCTAGCTTATGGATTTCTTTCATTACATAAATAATGTTGTAAGGAAAGCTGCAGTCTATATCTTGTACCATCTTTTAAGTTATTTTCTCAAGATTAAGCCCAAGGGCAGGTTTTTACAGCTCCAGATTGATCCTGCCAAGTTGATCTCGAAAGGCTGACACTGGCATTTTGGTTTCTGAGCTTCCCACTGCTTTATTCTCTCTCTCTCTCTCTCTTTTTTAAATGAGCTTATGTGGGCTACAAAGATGGCTCAGTGGATACAGGAGCCTGCCACCAAACCTGATAAAACGAGTTCAATCCCCAGGACACACATGATAGAAGGGAACCAATCTTCCCCAGGGCCTCTGCACTATGACTCCTACCTGTTTCCAAGGCATTTGTGCCATCTCCCAACACACAACACTAACACATAACTTACCAAGTTTTAAATGAGATTGCAATATTTAAACTTCATCCTACTCAATGTGCATTTCTTGAAGGTTGAACATGTTTCTGTGTTTTCTTTCTGCTGGGAGCCATTCTTTTTTTAAGACTTGGTTATTTGTAATTTGTGGTATGAATTTTTTTTTTATTTAGAACTTTTGGGGGCCTTTATGTCAGTGGTTCTCAATCTTCCTAAATGCTGCAACCCTTTAATACAGTTCCTGATATTATGGTGACCCCCCTGACCATAAAATTATTTTCCTTGCTACTTCATAACTGTAATTTGGCTACTGTTATGAATCACAATGTAAATATCTATGTTTTCTAGTGGTCTTAGGTGAGCCCTGTGAAAGGGTCACTGGACGCCCAGGTTGAGAACCACTGCTTTATGTAATATAAATCCCAACCACCATCAACTGTGTTTCTAAGCTGCTTCGTCCTTCTCGCAGCAATTGTGTCTTTCTCCCAAAACTGATATAGCCAGTGGGCATGTATGTGTGTTCATATACATATATAAGTTTATTGACATATATTTATTTTTATTTTATGTGTATGGGTATTTTGCCTGTAATATATGTTGATGTACCAGGTATATGTAGTGCCCATGGGAGCCAGAAAAGAGTCTTGGATCCTCTGATACTGTTGTTACAGACAGTGGCTAGTGGTCATGTGGGAACTGGGAATTGAACCTGCATTGCTGAGCCATCTCTCCAGCCCCAGTTCTTATATAGTTTAAAAATGTATTCCTGTTAGATTTCTCCTTCAAAAACAGAAAGCTGTCACTCAAGATGAGGTTATGAAGTATGTCTGTGCCTGGGTACTCTGCAATGCTAGTATTGCCATTCAAACAAATATGGATATTGATATATTCTCCTGTTCAAGGGTGCAGTGGTTACGCTATTGTTTGACTTGGTCACCACATGCAGGTTTGGGTCAAACACTACCTCCATTTGCTATGTAGGTAATAGTTTAAAGATGTGGTTCGTGTTTAAACCATCAACTCTAGTAAAGACGATTGCTCCAGAGTGTGGATGGGCCTTCCCCAATCAGTTGAGGTTCTTAAGACAAGGGTGAGGTACCCCAAGGAAAGAAGGAATTCTACCATTCGACTGCTTTAGACTTGTTCGTACATCAACTCTTCTCTGGGGCTTCAGCCTCCAGGCTTGTCCTGAAAGTTTCAGGCTTGCCAGTCAAAATAAAACCTAAGCTAAGCCTTTAAGAAAAAAAAATCCATGCATCTATGATATACATTCTATTTATTTTCTTTTAGAGAAATACAAAAGCTACTTTGAAAAGCTAGGAAGTCAGTGCCTGAAATGCTTCCCGCCAAGGAAGAGAATGGGTGGGACAAAGATATTATCTATCATACATCTTTATCTGAATTTAGGGATAGGCAACAACATTTTTTAGTATTCAAATACAAAAATATATACTTAAAAGCTTGGTATGGTGGCACTGCCTTTAATTTCAGCTTTTGAAAGAAAGAGGCAGGTAGATTTCTGTAAGTTTTAGGCCAGCCTGGTCTACATAGCAAGTTCCAGGACAGCCAGAGTTACATGGTAAGACTCCATCTAAAAATAAAAACCAAAACCAACTAAACAAACAAAAAGAACCACTTAAAATGATAATAAGAAATTTACCAACATTTATCTTATTGATCTTAACCACTCTGATGGGTGTAAGATGAAATCTCTTAGTACTTTTGATTTGCATTTCCCTGATGACTATTGTTGAATTTTCTCTCTCTCTTTTTTTTTCTTTTTGGTGTTTCAACACAGGGTTTCTCTGCCTAGCCCTGGCTGTCCTGGAGCTCATTCTGTAGCCCAGGCTCGCCTTGAACTCACAGAGATCTACCTGCCTCTGCCTGCTATGTGCTGAGATTAAAGGCATGCACCACCACCACCATCTGACTTTTTAAAAAGTGTTTCTTAGCCATTTTTAGATTTTCTCTGTTGAGAATTCTTTAGATCTATACTCCATTTTAAACTGGGTTATTTGTTTTCATGAAACTTAGTGTTCTGAGTTCTTTACATATTGTGGATATTACTCCTCTATTGGATGTGTAGTTTGTAAAACAAAACAAAACAAAACCCCAAAAACAAAACCCTTTTCCCATGCTGTAGGCTGCCACACTGTCCAATTAACAGTGTCTTTTGCTGTACAGAAGCTTTGCGGTTTCAGGAGGTCCCATTTATTAATTGTTGATTTTAGTGTCTGCGCTACTGGTGTTCTATTCAGGAAGTTGTCTCCTGTGCCAATGTGTTCAAAGTTATTTCCCACTTTGTCAACTACTCGTTTCAGTGTATCTGGTTTAATGTTGAGGTCTTTGATCCGTTTGGAGTTGAGTTTGGGGTGGAGTTTATAAATACGACTCACTTTGTCACCTTCTACATGCAGCCAGTCTATTTGACCAGCACCATTTATTGAAGGTGCTGTCTTTTTCCAATATGTTTTTCTGCTTCTTTCTCAAAAATTAAGTGTCTCTGTGTGTGGATTTATGTCTGGGTCTTCAGTTTGATTCCAGTGGTGAATATATCTGTTTTTGTGCCAATATCATGCTTTCTAAAAAAAAAAAAAAAAAATTACTATATCTCTAAAGTACAATTTGAGACCAGGAATGGTAATACCTCCAGCAGTTCTTTTTATCATTCAGACTGTTTCAGTTATAGCTACGCTAGTTTTTTTTTTTTTTTTTTTTTTTTTTTTTTTTTTTTTTTTTTTTTTTTTGTGTGTGTGTGTGTGTGTGTGTGTGTGTTTTCATGTGAAGTGAAAATTGTTCATTCAAGTTCTGTGAAGAAATTTGTTGGAATGTTAATGGGATTTCAGTGAATCTGTAGATCGCTTTTGATAGGATTGTCACTTTTACTATATTAATCCTACTGATCCATGAGCATCAGACAGCTTCCAACCCTCTGATATCGTCTTCAATTTCCTTCTTCAACACCTGAAATATTTATAATACAGGTCTTTCTGTTGTTTGGTTAGAGTTACCCCAAGATATTTTATTTTATTTGAGGTTATTGTAAAGGGTGTTGTTTTCCTGATTTCTTTCTCAGTCCCTTTGTCGTTTATATATATAATTTTGTAACCAGCTACTTCTTCAAGAGTGTTTGTGAAATGTAGAAGTTTTCTGATGAAAGTTTTAGGTTCACTTATGTATACTATCATATCATCCACAAATAAAGATGCTTGGACGTCTCTCCTTCCTCTCTCTATCCCCTTCACTTCCTTCAGTTGTCTTATTGCTCTAGCTAAGACTGCAAGTTCTATATTGAATAGGTATGGAGAGAGTGGACAGCCTTGTTTTGTTCCTGATTTTAGTGGAAATGTTTTGAGTTTCTATCCATTTAAGTTGATGTTGGCTATGGGCTTACTGTAAACTGACTTTATTATGCTGAGGTATGTCCCTGTATCCCTAATCTCTTCAGGACATTTTTTAAGAGG